AAACAAAATTGGCAAAATACTTTCTTCTTTTGACCCCTATGACTGTGGGATTCCTTTAATTTTCTCAGGGCTAACAGGAATGACCAATGAAGGGGTCAAAATGTTGAATTCTAAGGAAATGTCCCTCTTTTTAAAAGACATTTGATGGATGGGTTAGGCTCAGATCTGCACTTGCAGAGGGCATCTCATTTCCCCCTCCTCCACTATTTCCTCTTTTCTTTTCTCTGAAGGCCCCCATAGCCTCTTCCCTTTTCCTGCTTCCTTCTCTCACCACCCAACAGCCAATCTACCTTTACCTGCACCTCTGTCTTCAGCTCCCCCCCCCAGCAGCCTCTACCTGTTTGGTGTAGCGGTTAAGTGTGCGGACTCTAATCTGGGAGAACTGGGTTTGATTCCCTACTCCTCCACTTGCACCTGCTGATGTGACCTTGGGCCAGTCACAAGCTCTGGCACAGCTGTCCTTGAAAAAGAGCAGTTTGTGTCAAGAGTTCTCTCAGCCCCACCAACCTCACAGGATATCTGTTGTGGGGAGGGGAAGGGAAAGGAGTTTGTAAGCCGCTCTGAGACTCCAAGTGAAGGGCGGGGTATAAATCCAATCTCTTCTCTTCTACTTCTTCTACCTAGGAAAACTACAGCACAACTGGCACAGTAGGGAACCCTTAAGAACTTTTCCTGCTCCTGGCAACCCCCATATCCTTTCTATGCCTCATTGTCTCCTTCTCAGCCATTAACCAACCTACCTTTTAGCTGCCACCTATCGTCAGTAGAGTTGCCAACCTCCAGGTGGGGCCTGGAGACCTGCTTTTACAACTGATTTACATATCTAATAGCCAAATGCAGCCTCCATCTGCGGATATCTAAATCCATAGATCAGGGCCACACTGACACTAATTAGATTTTGCTGCAAACGTGGGGATCCCCCAGGAATGCAGAAAAATCTGAAATCTTAAAAAAAAAATTGGAGGGTTTAAACCTCTCTCTGTGCAAGTGCAGAGACTGCACTTTCCTCCTGCATGGTCATTGGTGGCTGCAGCTGAGCCCAAGAGCTGCACCGGGGCCAGTGGCAACCACGGCAGCCTGGGGCCACGCCAGGCCCATCTTCAGCAGAACCCAGGACCTAGTCAGGACCCGTCAGCAGCCACAGAGGTGTGGAACCTTGCCAGACCTGGTGGCAGATGCAACACAATCCAGGAGCTGTGCCTGGGCCCAATGAGAAAGTGGAAGATGGGGGGAAAAAAACCCCACAAGTCTCATAGGCCCACATTTGTATATTCTATAGGCTTGCCAAGTCCCCCCGGGGGGGGGGGCGGGGAAACCCCTGCCCCAGAGGCCCGTTCCCCGGCGGCGGCGGATCGGGCCCCGGGGGGAACCCCACCCCGACGTGCGCGTCACCAGAAAGTGACGTTAGGACGCCGGGCACACTGGGGGCGGGGCCACGACCATCGGAGGGAAAATTCTATGGTTTTCCCTCCGATGGTCGTGGCCCCACCTCCAGCGTGCCCGGCATCCTAACGTCACTTCCTGGTGAGGTGCGTGCAGCGTGTGCACGCTCCAGTCGCCGCCCAGGAGCCCCCCGCTGCGGCGAAGAAACAACTTGGCAACCCTAATATTCTAATAGCCACATTTGTCTTGAAAAGACAAGACAGATCTTGCTACAAATCTGAAAAACACCCCAGGTTTGCAGAAAAATCTGAATTTTTTTTTCAAAAATAGGCAGTTAAAAAAAAACTATAAAGGAGTGCCGGAGTTTTAAGCAGAAGCCCTTAGTAGGTGTTGCTAGGCAACCACAACATTCTAGCCTTGCTTTCTGTCAGTTAAAGGCTGGGGGAGGGGGCAGAGCCCTTTTGGCCTTTGTGGGAAAACTGATCGCCAGGGCCAGGCCCGGCAGCAACTGTGGCCTGGCAGCAACTCTGCGCTGGGAAACACCTGGAGATTTTGGGGGTAGAACTTGGAGAGAGTGGTGTTTGGGTAGGGGAGGGGAGGGACCTCAGCATGGTAGCCATTTTCTCCAGGGAAACTGATCTCTGTCCACTTAGAGATCAGTTGAAGTCCCAGGAGATCTCCAGCCACCACCTGGAGTGGGTCCCTCACATTTGCAACAAAATATGGTTTAGGAGTTCCAGGTCCATCAGAAACACCGGCAGGAGGATGGGGGGATGTTCTGGGAGTGGGAAGTGACATCATGTGACGTTTCTACATCACCAGGAAGTGACACAGGCACATCAGTGACAACACTCTGGTTTTTAAGCAAAATTCTATGGTAAAATCAGCCTCAAACCACAGTGTTTTGCCCCAAAACCACAGTGTTGCCCCGACGTCACTGACGTGCCTAGGTCATTTTGAGTGATGTAGGCACCTCACATTTATTTTCAGCAATATTGCTAGTTGGGGGGTGGCGAGGATTGCTTTCCACAGGCCAGCTGGCTGGCAGTGGGCAGGAGCCCACAAAACCGGGGAATCCCCTGGCCCCAACTGTGGAGTGGAAACCCTAATCTGGTTAGTGTCAGTGTGGCCCTGATCTAGACACCCACAGATGGGGGCCATACCTGGCTATTAGATATGCAGATGATTCTGGCCTCAAACCTTGCAGCTGAGGCACCTGTTCTCTGCAGTTGGTTGATTTATTGGGGGGGGGGGGATAAATGGCCTGGTCTGAGTTTTCAGGGATTGGACTAGATGGCGTTTTCACTGCTTCTGAGTCCCCAATTCTCAATATACAAACCTCCCTTCAAAACTGCACCAGTCAGGCTATTGTGTGTTGTTGGCAAAGAGGCAGAGCTGTTTGCTTTCCTCAAATGTTCATATTTTCCTTTTGCGTTTCCTGTTGCATCCCATGCTGCTGATAGCCTGAAGAGATCACCATTCCCAAAGCTTTGCCAGCTAACATCTTTCATACAGGAGGTACGTGTGACAGACTGATAGGTCCTTCGAAATCTTTCCTCCTGGATATGCAGGCCATTCTCCCTTACAACACATGGCTGATCTTGCAGTTCAGTGAGTAGTTGCTGCTAGTGCTAGCACATACATAGGGCTGAACATTTTCCCTTTTGCTAACATAATCTGTCTTTTATTACAAGAAGCACGCGGACGAACAGACAGTGGTGCTTACCAAAAATCAAATAGAAAACATGTTACTTATATATGTATTCATTACAATGCATGTGTTCCTTGGAATCAGGGAGGACTAATCAATCCTGAAGCATCAAAATAATTTATATACCTTTTTAAAAAATGGAAATCATTTGGGGTGTTCTGTTTTCACAGGCTCAGCCGAAAGCACTTGAAATACTTTGCCTCACCCTGTTGAAGTGTACTGCAAAGGGCTCTCTATCTGTATGGTATTTGTGATAGGGTAATGTTTGTACAGGTGAGTGTCCACCAGGGAGCACTACAGTCATAAGCAGTTGAGAAGGAAGAAGGAAGCGGCCTGAGAGGAGGGGTCTGGAATGCGTTTGGTTCTTAAATTAATTGATGGTGAGTCAGTTAAGGACAGGCACTGGGAGACAAGGCAGGACAATGATGAGATGATCCTGAAGCAAGAACAAAAGGGGACTCAAGCATCTAATTTGTTGAAGGAGCCTGGCCTTTAACGCGCTGCATGGCTCTCTGTTGTTTTCGCAGAAAGGGTGATTTAAGGAATTAAGATTACAAGAAAAGGTCTCATACTCACCATGAATCGCAGCCAAATGTGATTATCAGCATTTGCTGATGTATGTTTGAAAAGAGGGGAACAAACATACTCCTTTTTTTTTTGGACCTTTACAAAATGTATCTGGATTTGTCAGCAGCTACATGTGAATATTAACATTCACCCAAGTTTCAACAATAAACCTAGTTATGTAACACTTGCAATTATTTTGTTCCAGTGTACCTCCTGAAATTAATTATTTCTCCACTCGTTTTAATTTTTTTTACACTTTGATGATTTGTTTTCAAAAGTAGCCACAAAGCATATGCTTTGGTCCTGAGTGTGGCTGCTCTCCAGCATCCGCTCGCGTGCACCGGCAAAAACACTGGAGATCTGACAGCTTCAGAGTGGGAGGAATATGATGCTCTGCTTCAGGTACGAAGGGATCTGTCTAGATCAGGAGGTGGGCCAATGAGGGCCTAGTGAGCACATCTGGCCTGCGGAGAGCTTTTCATCTGGCCCAGCGTCTGTTTAACAATTTATCAGGAGCATTGGACTACCAAACTGCAGCTTGGGAGACAGCTCAACAGGCAAGTCCCACTGATGGCAAAGGAGTGGGAAAGGGAGCCCGCATCCCGGTCTCCCTTTTTCTTTCAAAGACTATTCCTGTTTAGGAAGCTGTTGCTGGAAACAGGAAGAGCTGCTGCCCAACTCTGAGCCCTCCCCAGAAGCAGAGAACCAGATGTGCTCATCAGGCTGCAACATTTACCCACCCCAACCAAGAATGACATTAAATAATCGTCACAGTGCTTGACTTTGCCCAAACAGTTCGTGAGAATATTTTATAGATCCAGAAACAGACGAGTAGGGAAGGACCTTATAATTATACAGCAGACAGTCTGGCAGGTGGGGTGATACAGCATCTCAACACTATTATCTTCTAATCTCACTCACTCAACTGGTTTTTGAGTGGGGAGTGCCCAGGTGTTTTCTACTCTAGGATAGGAGAGTGGAAACATCACCCGTTCCTTCCACACCTCTAGGCTGCCTTGAATTGCTGGTTTCTTTCACTTAATAAATAGGAAACATTCCTGTTCTCAGGGCGTGATTTGTGTTAGAGGTTTCAGTGGTGGGTATGCAAACCTGAGGGACATTAAGCCACACAGAACGCAATCTGTCTTTTTTGCAGTCTCACAGAACCACTGAGTTGGCCCTCATACAAGCCTCTGAAGAATGAGTGTATCGGCTCTCAGACGGAAAGGGTGTGCTTTCTTTCCTTGGTCTGTAACCAAACTGGAGGGGATCAAAAGGCACAGTCCCAAGAGTACCCAAGAACAATGACAGGGGTTGTGTCTGCTGACTTGTCACTTACGTTAGCAATGGTGGAGACAAACAGCATGACCACCGTGGCAATGTGGATCACAAAAATACCAGCCAGTAGCACCAACATCTTGGCTCTGCTGCAGAGGTGTCTCTAGTGCCGAGAACTCTGTGAAAGAGAAAAAGAGCCACAAGGAGAATCTATGAAAGAGGTGCTGAATCTCAGGACATTTCCAAATGATCATGCATATGCAAGACACTCGAGACAGGTATCTTAAACTCCGCCCAACTTGAAGGAGGACACATTGCTACAAAAACGGATCTGCAAATATATTGACAAATCCCCCCTTTTTGGAGGGTGTATATGTAGAGGAGGGGAACAGTCAAACAGTCAAATCTCTTCTTTAGCAGTCTGACTTGGTGGAGGTGAGGAAACTCCCGCTTAGCTCAGCTGGTTATGCAAACTGGCCTCTGGTAAGCAGAGTGAGGGCTGGCATGTCCACAGGCAACATGTGAACTGCTTTGTGGGCTGTGCTCTGTGACATTTAGGAAGGCCCATTACTGGAGGAGACGGATCAATGAAGGTACTGTGATGGTCCCAGCCCAAGAACAAGCCTCGCTTTCAAGCAGGCAGCTTCCCAATCTTTTTAGATACAATGAATTTGCCTCAGTGCATTTCTGAAGAAAGATGCCATTTGTTTTGTAATTAAGTTGATTCCTGTTCCCTTCCTGTCCTGTCTGAGAAACAAGTTCTGACTAACTGTGGGCAATCGGCATCCCCTCCTGGACTGTACCACTGCCAGCTAGTTCTGAGTCAAATGTCCTGAAAGTGGTGCAGAAAGGATGGCTGCCCCTTGTTTGGCATGACAAAAGGGTACTTGTGTTTGTGGTCACCTTCACCTAAGGGCATGCCTGTGAAGTGCCTGCACTTTTGACTCCCTAGGTGCTGTCCGAGCACTAAATTGGAAGGGTAAAGACTCCACCTGCTTCCCCCAAAGAAGGTGCTGGTTCATGCAGAGTAACCCTTTGTTGGGGGTGCGACCCACAGAGTTAATTTGTGGGAACCAGCCTCACTGCAGGCCAAACGACCTGGGGGCCGCTTGTACGCAAGTGACCTGTTTTCCTTTTCCCCATGGGAGTGAATGGCACCTGTTCAGTTACACAGCAGACAGTAAAGAGGTGCACATCAGGACACTCCTCAGGCCCTGACGACTTCAACTTTTAAACTTTGCCTCTTAGAACTTAACAAGAGGGGGACCCGCGATACTCGTGGGGGGGGGAGAAGAGCTCCGTCTCCTCCATCCCCCCCCGCTCGATCTCCCCGAGGCAGCGGCGGCGAGGCCGGTCCTCTCCCCCCCCCCCGCCCAGCTCCGAGGTGGCGGAGGTGGCGGAGGCGAGTCCGGTCCCCCCCCCCGCCCGGCTCCGACCCGGCTTGGCTCCGCGGCGGCAGCGAGGCCGGTCCTCCCCCCCGCCCAGCTCCGAGGCGGAGGCGGCGAGGCCGGGCCTTCCCCCCCCCTTTGCCGGGCTTGGCGGCGGCGAGGCCGGTCCTCCCCCCGCCTGCCCGGCTGGCTCCAAGGAGGAGGCGGCGGCGCGGCAGCGAGGCCAGCTACAGAGCGTTCCCTGCACATGTGCAGGGGACGCTCTGTCACTTTCAGGGGGATTTAAACATCCCCCCTCAAGTGCCCCCGGAGCGCGGATTTAGCGATCCGCACTCACGGGGGCAACTTGGCTATTAGTATATAGATGGGGACCACTGAGAACTACTCCCATGTTCTATAGTGGTTAGTGTCAAATTAGGACCAGAGAGACCTGGGTTTAAATCCCCACTCTGCCATGGAACCTTTCTGGGTGGCCTTGCACCAGTCACTCTCTCTCTCTCCACCTAACCTACCTCGTAGGGTTGTTGTGAGCATAAAATGGAGGAGTGGAAAACAATATTGTAAGCTGCTTTGGGTCTCCATTGGGGACAAAAGTGGCATATTAGTATCTAAATAAGCTAATATCACATGTAGGTTCCTCCTAAAACAAAATCTAGTAATAATTTCTTATGTTTGAAATCCCCCTGTGTTAATTCCAGCTAGGAGAATCCTGCAGCTCCTCAGACAAGTTGTTTGATTGCCACCACTGGAATGCTGGCAACTCCCCCCCCCCCCCCCACCCCAGGTTCCATCAAGCACAAATGATTCTGAGCTGCTGTAAAAATAAAGGTCTAAGACCCCTTCCAGTCCTCCATCTCTCACAAACTTGACCAGTGCCATAAAATGTCATCTTATCTGCCATGGCCACTTGGATCAACAGGTCGTTATTATGAACACATCAGAACTGGGCAAAAATATTTTAAATTCCAAGATTAAATTCTGAGATCACGTTTAAGTGTTTGTGGTTTCTTTCTTTTTTCTTTTTTAAAAAATATCTTGGTTTCTTTTAGCCCTGAGAGACTGATAACAATGAAAAAGTTCTCTTGGGATTGTCTGCCCCATCGATCTGGGTGAAAGCAAGGTTGATCACTGAGTGAAGAAAACTTCATTTTCACTGATTTATCAAGGGACTTTGTAAAGCAGTCGGCTCATGGTTTGCTGTTGTTATGGGAAAGAAAAGTGTGACGGTTATGAAGGAGATACGTCACAGGAGATGAGCCACCGGGGAGTCGTGGCACCTCAGTAAGAATGGTCCAGCTTATATCTTTTATGATTTCCTTTTCGGATATTTGTGGAAACCTAAACCACACTGCTCTGCAGAGTCATACGTGTTCCTTATTTATAGTCTGCCTTCTCTGCCCCCTGCCCTTCATCTACTTGCACTCTTCTGTGTAAGAGATAGCAGCTTTTAAAAAGCAACTTGATCTCTTTTGGGACACAAAGATGTTTCCCCCCCCTTCCACAAGGCAGTGCTCTCCTTCTCTCCCCTCCCCTCCCTTTGCAGCCCCTTATTCAGCACCACCCCCCTCCCTTTAACCTTTGGCCTGACTTTAGATTGCACAATTGTCCCTTTGCATTCTTCAAGACACCTTCCAGGCTGTTGCAAAATACTCATTTGCAATTGCAGTATGACCATTTCTACCCTTGGAACTGCACTACGAAAATGTTCTCCTGTTTTGATTGTCCAGACAAAACCAAGTAAGTCCCCGTAACTGCAAACCGACAGCTCTGCCCTGTGCACGTCTCTCATACCGAGTTCAAGAGGGACTGACTCCCACGTAAATGTGCACAAGGTTGCACTTGTTTCTGCAAGACAGGATGCACCTCACCCCATCTTTTTTTCAAGGAAGTGTAAGCTCCACATCTCAAAGTGGATCTTCTGTGTTGGCAAAAAAGATGTTCATTTCCTTAGCTGGTGATTCTGTTCCTCAACACCAATGGCCCACACCCCTCCTTCTGTCATGTGAAACCAGATGGATAATCATCCTTGCTTAGAGATGTACATTTCATTATGGGGCCTCCATGCTTAATTAATTTCTTTCTCAACTGGAAGTGAGATATCCCAAACCACCCATGGGAATCAGCTTGGCGAGGCCATAAACCCATGCCCTGTGGCATTTGGTTCCTTTTAAAAAGAAGCACCAAGGAGATGTCTTTATCTTTTGTGGAAAAGCAACCTACCCTTGGCAGTAAAATGCTTGGTTCGCCAGGATCAGACTGAAGGAATGGCTAGGAATGGTGACTTTTGATTATAAATTTGATCCAAGGATAATTCTGCCTTATTCTTCAGGTTTTCTCCCAGTGACATAGCCCACAGCAGTGTTTTGTAAGTAACTATGTAATTTCTCTTTATTTCCTGTACACTGTTGGTTTGTCCACAGATAACCATTTTCTAATAAAGAGCTCTTGGCAAATACTTCTTGCAAATGCTGTGTTTGGGACCCTGTTCTTGGAAGTCTTCCTTGATTGCTGGTTTGCCACATTCAGATGATCCAGTTTGGGGGGGGGGGGGATGATGAAAGTATGCAGTTACTTTTTGAGCCAGATGAGAGATCTGCATCCCTTTTTTCCAGACCAAGATATCTACCATGAGGGTTCCTGTAACAACAGGTAGACAGGTGGCACTAATGTTTTGGGTGAAGTCTGATTGAGATGAGGGCTGAAATCCTATGCACACTTGTAAGTCTCATTGAACTCTGTGGGATTTACTTCTGAGAAAACATTCATAGATATGCACTACATCATACATAATGTATGTGCCATTGCATCATGTTTCTAGGACATCTACCGAACCACATCCTTTGCTGATTTTAACTGTCACTTGGATCAGGACCTTCATCCATGGGGGGGGAAGCTGGTACCAAATGAATGATAAACAGCAGTAACAATGTATGGAGACACTGTGGTGTAGCACTTATTTATAGTCTCCAGTCCAGCTGTTATGTGGTTAGAAGAATTCATTCCCTAAAGCCCTGTCAGATCCTTCTAAATAAGTGACAGGGTGACTTTCCAAACCATATCTCCAACTCCAAAAACAGGAAATGGCAGTGCCGATGGGTAAAGTAGAACTGGAAGATTCTGGCTGTTTAGGTCTAAGTTGTAACATATTGGAAGTTTGATGATATTTACATCTAGCCATAGCAGAAAAGGACAATGGAAATATGCACTGTGTCCATGTGATCTCACCCAACTCAAAGAACACCCCCCCCCTTTTACACCTCTGAACAAAGAATAAGAAAAGTAACCCTGGCCCCTTCATTTCTGTCATGTGAAAATATCAAATCTGTACCACCAATCTGGAATGCAGGAAGAGTGAGGGGACAATGAATGCATTCATGAGCTTGCAGTACAAACCTAAGCAGAGTTCCTCCAGACTGATCCCACTGAAATCAGTGGGCTTAGACTGCAGTAACTCTGCATAGGATTGCACTGCTGGTTACTCAGTATTTCAGACCAGAGGATCCTATGAGTCCCGACAGCAAAGCCAGGCACTGTAAGAGGACACAAGCATGTAGAAACTCTGTTTGGAAAAGGGGCACAGAGAAGAAATGGTCACTGCGGAGAAGAAGAAGAAGAGGAGGAGGAGGAGGAGGAGATTGGATTTATACGCCGCCCTTCACTACCCAAAGGAGTCTCAGAGCGGCTTACAAACTCCTTTCCCTTCCCCTCCCCACAACAGACACCCTGTGAGGTGGGTGGAGCTGAGAGAGCTCTTGACAGAAACTGCTCTTTTTCAAGAACAGCTCTTATC